AAACTTCTAGTCTAAGGCCTCTGCCTTGGGGTACTTTCAGCATGAGAACGTAAGAGGTAGGGACTGTTCACAATGGCAAAACTCAGCTGCCTGTACAGACGGTGTTCCTAGAACTAACGGGCATCAGCACTCGGTAAGTTCAAGTCTGCCTGTTAGGGGGCAACTACAACTTCTAAATGGTCTCTATTTTTTCGTTTTTTCAGCTTCAGAGTCTCAGGATCTCAATGCAGACAGGGCACCGTGATAAAAAGAAAGGTTAAGATGGGGTTACAAAATAGAGTCTGCAGGTACCGGGAGGACATTGCAAATTCGGGGTGAAGGTGAATGGAGCCACACCCAGCATGGATAGACAGGAAATGGCACAAAGGGAGGAGAAAGGCTACATGCTGCAGGGACAGGGTGTGGAGTCACATCAGGGTGGTGAGTCAGAGAGGAGGAGGGATGTGAACACGTTCTGTGCTCTCTTGGGTCCCGCCAGGCTCACGTGTGGCTTTGCTCCGACACGTTTCTGTTACATGCTGTGACACTGGAATCCTCTGGCATGTCAGGTGGGCTCCTTCCATGGGGGCAGGAACAGAGAGACAGTCATTTGCGGGTTCTTTTGTTCTATACTGCTTGCCTCCCTCCCACTGGCTGGTCTCCTGCTGTGTGCTGGGAGCACAGTCAAAACACGAAGGAACCCAGGTCTCTGTTCACGTGGACCTTAGGGCCGAGACAGGAGTCGGGTGTTAATGGAATAACCACACGGACGAACACACTGGCCACAGGCCCAGCTGAAACCTCGGCACCTCGAGGCTGCGGAAGGTCCCCAAGTGAGGTCTAGGGTTTTCGCGAACAAAGGAAATGACCCTGGGGGGTGGGGAGCTGACTTGTTTTTCATGACTGCAACTGGCTCTTGACGATCTTTTCTGCTAAACGTCTCCAACTGGGAATTTTGCGAAACCCCTGCTTCGAGGAGAGTGAGCCCTGGGAACCTCCTTATCAGAAGATGGCCTGAGTTCTTGCTTGAGGCTCGGTCATCCGGGGCCTCGCGGCTGCTTGCATCATCACCCTCGCACCGCCCAGCCCGGGCTGACTGAGAAGAGGAACAGGCCCGCCCAGAACACGGGTCAGGTGACCACGTCCAGCTACGAGGGCACGCTGCGTGGGGCGGGGCTTCCGACCCAGCCGCGCTTCCCAATTGGCTTCGGGGCTTTCTTTGAGCTGGTCGCAGGGAGGTGGGTCCGCGCCTTCCAGAGGCTTCGCGGGGCCGCTTCTTTGGCGGGAGTTGGCGGCTGGTGTGAGGTGAGACTCGCAATGGCCCCTCTCTGGCGAGGCCCTGTCAGAGCCCGATCGGGACCATCCAGGGGCTTTCGTCCTCCAGGAGCCTGGTCTGAGCGGACTGTTGAGGACCCCGCAGGAGTTAGTTGAAGGGGACGGAGCGCTGGCAGTGCGGGGCCTGTGGTGGGAATGAGTCTCTCTGGGGCGTTGTGTTGGGGGCGGTGGTGGAGAGCGCGCTTGCCTCGTCCTTGGCATCCTGTTCCCCTACATCCAGAGGGGGCATCCGGGACCCGACGTGGGGCAGGTGCTCTGCGAATATTCTGACGTAGTTCTGGGAGCGCCCGCCATGGCTCTGGTGAGGGAGCAGAGTTTTGAGCGGCCCTGGGCGGGGACTGTGGGGCGCCGAGGCCATGTTCCAGGCTCTCTGTAGGGCACAGGCATTTCCAAACATGGGGCAGGTTTAGAGTTTTACCCTTGATCAAGGGCTGAACGCCCAGATGTGTACAAGGCCAGGCATCAGTGATAATCAAGATGGAGGCAAAGGGGAGGGGTCCTGTTGCTGGGCTAAAGGGACAGTGGCGGGCAGCTGGGCCCTGCGGGGTGTGTGCTCCGAGATGCCAGAGTTCAGCCTTTTCTATGACAACCACGACCGGAAACCTTTGTTTTAAAAAAGGAAGTGTGTGTGTGTGTGTGTGTGTGTGTGTGTGTATCTCAAGCCCTCTGGTGTAATGTAGGTTTTAATTTATAATGTTTTAGCATATTGTATAGCCAAATATCTATATCTATCTGTCTCTCTCTATATATCTATGAGTTGAATTTCCCTGGGGTGCCAGTTTGCAGCCTCTGCCATAGGAATCCTGAGCTTAGTCGTTGAGTTAATTGGAAGATGGGGGTTACCCTCACCCTGGCTTGACTCTGCTTCGGTAAAGCTAGCAGAGACCTACCGGGGTTAGATATGGGCACTGGGGGTGATCTGAAGCTAGGGGACAGACACCTCCTTGCAAAGTAGGCAGGACTCGCCACAGGCCTGTGTTTGTAGCCTTCCTGTACCATGTGTCTGTGAACGGGGCTATGCAAATATTTTCAAAATAAGCTAGTGCCTTTGGGATGAGCCTCCCACGGCTCCCAGCCCTGGGCACTGCAGGAATCCTGATCCCATTACTGTCTGGATTCATGGCTTGAAAGTGAGCTGACTCGGGAAAGGAGGAGTATGCCTGGGGAATTCTTGGGAGGAAGTTACCGTGGGTCAGCTGGCTCTTCTGGGCCCCTCTTGCACTGAGGGCAGACAGCCGGACATACAGAGATGAGCCTCTGCCCTCAGGACACTCTGATCACATGGGGAGGTAAACTGTAGCCCTGGAAGAGGGCTTTGTATGGCTCCTTGCCTGGGAGGCTTGGGCTGGGAATTCAAGGATGAGAGGGAGGGCCTAGAGGGTGTACCAGAAGCAACGTGGACTTAGAGCCTGTGCAGAATTGGGTGGGTGGCTGGGAAGGGAGAAGAGGCTCCCAGGTGGGCCTGATCACCGTGCGGTGGGGATGGAGAAATATGATTAGACCAGCCTACTCATCAGGGTCATGCTAGGAAGTAGGGAATTGGGGCTTTTAGGCCCCAAGTTTGAGTCAGAAGGGGTTCAGTGCTGTTTTAAGGAAACACAGATATTGTTAGTTCAGGGAAATATTGTGGTGGGAAGGAGTGGTTGAGGAGGTACAAGTGGCTTCTTCTGAGGAGAAAGTCATGTGAGAGGGGATTGATTGTCTCCGACTAGATGCTCATTCCCTGTGAGTAGGTCTCTGTGTTCTGACCCCCAGTTGTCCCTCTTCTGTTAGTCAGCCCACCTTCCCATAATGTTTGGATGGTTACAGGGGTATCTCCTGGTGCAGAGGGAAAGGGCAGCTGAGTAGGACCTGGTGGCCTCATGGTGATGGTCTTCGTCCTCCTTGGCAGTTTTATGCCTCCTTCCTGCCAATCCAGCCCTTACTCGTTCTCTCTGCACAGAAAGAATCAGCATCTCCAGTACAGCCCCCTATCTGTGCTAGGAGATGGCCGGATGGGTGTGGATGGTAAGACAACCAGTCCCACTCACGTTGGCCTTAGGCAGCCCCTGACCTGGACATTGTGAGACCTTTTGAGGACAGCTGGCTCCTTGGTGGGACCAGTTGGGTGTGGGGCGGGGCCTTGATCTGAGCCAGCCCCTAGTTTCACCCTAAGTTCTCCTCACTGCTGATGGCCTAAGTGATGTCTGTCCTGGGAGTGGGGTATTGCAGTTACCCCAGGAATCCCTGGATTATGGCTCAGATTCCATATGGCTCCATCCTTGCACCTTTCCTAGCTCAGGTTTCTGTGGAGAGAAGGAGAGTGGCAGAGGTGACTGGTTCCCGAATCATATAGGCTCTCATTGCCACCATGTTGGAAAGCAGACTCCAGACCAAACCAAGGAGCAGCCCCAATGACCGAGAGGTAGTGTGCCTCCTCCCATTCCTCAGATCCCCTCTGTTCTGCTACCCCTTCTGCTGTGCCCCTGACTCCTAGAGCCTCCTTCACTCCATCTTTCCCCTTCTCCTGCCAAGGACTTTGAGTCCTGTCATCTCTCCTCATTGCTCTTTCCAGACTAGCCTGTGGTCCTCAGGCCTTGGGATGAAGCTGGAGGCTGTCACCCCATTCCTGGGCAAGTATCGTCCCTTTGTGGGTCGCTGCTGCCAGACCTGCACCCCCAAGAGCTGGGTGAGTGATAGTAGGGCCGGGCCCCAACCAGGAAGCATGGTTCTGGGAGCCAAAGCTCTGGGAAGCTGCTTCCTTTGTGTCCCTCCGAGCTTGGCTCTTCCCTGTCCCATGCCTCTGCTTCTGTCTTTCAGGGGAATGGATGCACTGTATTGGCTGTGTGGTTGGGCTAGCTCCCAGGCCTGGAGAGTTGGGTGGGGGAAGTGCAGAGGGGCCTAGGTGGTGATAGGGTGTGTCGTGAGGGCTGGGGTCTCATCATGCCTGTGTGAGTTTTGTTGTTCAGTTGTGGGGACATCACGCACTCAGACTTCCCCAGCCCTTGGTGCATACTTGGAGAACTCTTTTGGTTCATGCCATGTGATGGTGGTGAGGGGTCCCAGATTTCTGATGAAGACCCGGGCTTCATGCTGTCTGCTGTTAAGAAGATAACTTCTTGGAGACTTTCCTATGCCACTCTGAAAGAGGGTGATTCTGTACAGGATATGGCATTTCAGTTTTGAGCATGGGCCCCTTTTTCCTGGGCCAGCACAGGATCTAGGATCAAACACCTTTTGGGAAATATTGTGCTGTAATCTTTTCTCCTGGAAGACTTAGCAGGCCACCAGGCAGAGACCAGAGGGGCAGCACAGCGGCTCTTTTTTGCCAGTTTGCGGTGGCCCTCCAGGACATGCTATCTCTCCCCCTCTCTGGCAGGATTCCCTCTTCCACAGAAGCATAAGGGACCTAGGCTTTTGCAATGTGATTCTGGTGAAGGAGGAGAACACCAGGTAGTCAGAGCTGCAGAGTGGAGCAGGGTTGGGGACAGGGCCCCTTTGGTGCAGGGCTTCTGGGGCCCTGAGTTTAGGGGCCATTTTCTTCCTGTGATAGAAAAAGAGGGGCCCGGTCCTCTGTTCCATACAGAAGTCTGCAGGGAGGCGCACTTGGAGCTCTCTTGCAGTTCCTTCTGTGAGCATGTATGGATTGCCCACCATGTGTCAGGCTGTGAACCTGTACCCGACTCAGCAGGGTGAGGGGTGGGAATGGGGCACAGGTGAGTAGGCTGTTCCTCTTCCTGCTCAGGTGTTCCTGGGACATGAGACTAGGGTATGGTTCCTTTCTGATTGAATAGCCCTCTGTGAGCCCTGCTGGAGGTGGTCCCTCTCTGAATGATCTTCCCTCCTGCTTTGGGAGTTGTTCCCAGGTTTCGGGGCTGGCTGGTTCGGAGGCTCTGCTATTTCCTGTGGTCCCTGGAGCAGCACATCCCCTCCTGCCAGGATACCCCACAGAAGATCCTGGAAAGCACTGGGTGAGGAGGCAAGCACTGGGGTCTGGCTGGCACTTCTGGCATCCTGAATGGGATGAAAATGACACTAGGTAGGGGTGGTTGAGAGGGCAGGCTGGGGCACAGGTTCTAGAGCATGAGCTTTGCCTGGGACTCTTCCTTAAAGAGGAGGGTGAAGCCCCGCCCTAGCTGATACCACTTCTCCCAATCCCCTCACAGGGTACAGAACCTTCTCTCAGGGAAGGTTCCAGGAGGTGCTGGGGAAGGCCAGGTGCCTGACGTTGTGAAGAAAGAGGTACAGCGCATCCTGGGTCACATCCAGGCCCCACCCTGGCCCTTCCTGGTCAGGTAACTGTGCTGAGGGGCACTCACCCCTCGGTTGGGGTCCTTCTGGAGAGTGGGTGTTGACCAGGCTTGGGGAAGTGCTGGACTTCCCTCCTGGGGAGCTGGAGAATGTTTACCAGAGGGAACTGTGGCTGCCTTCACCACCGCCTCACATTGCCCCAGCACAGGTCTGAGTTTCTGTTAGATGCAGGGCACTGTTCCAGGGAAATGAAGGGGTAAACAGATACACGTGGCTAGGAGAAGGAAGGAGCAGGGCTGAGACAGAATACCAGGAAGGGGACAAAGAGACTGTAAGCCAGGGCCAAGAGGAGGAAAAGGAGCCAGGCTTGGGGGCTCACATTTCATTTCTACTCCCTTGATCTGCCTACCTTGACATCAGCCATTAGCCTCCCTTTCTGTGTTTCCTTCCTTCCGAGCCTAGCTGAGTTTCCAGGCTCAGGGTGCTAATAATGCTCTTGTGAGAGAGTCATGGGCACAACTCCCTGCTGTCTGCCTTCTCTTTGCACCTGAGCAGGTCAGCATTGCCAGAGAAACACAACAGTGGACTGGTTTCCTTGCTAAGTGCAAATGTCAAAGGGACACAGGGCACTCTCCAGGGCTCCCACCCAGCCGGCTCCTTTTTGGACTTACCCATTGTCAACTGATGCCCCATGTAATGCTTCACAGAAAGATAAAAGCCATCACATGGGACCTGCTGCTTATCCACCACACCTCCCTGCTACATACAGCTATGTGTCTGTCTTCAATTAAAGGTTCCAGGTCGGTGTGGTGGCTCAGGCCTGTAATCCCAGCACTTTGGGAGGCCAAGGTAGGTGGATTGCTTGAGCCCAGGAGCTCGAGACCAGCCTAGGCAAAATAGACCAGCCTGGCAACGTCATCTCTCCAAAAAATTAGCCGGATACAGTGGTGTGCACCTGTGGTCCCAACTACTTGAGAGGCTGAGGTGGGAGGATTGCTTGAGCCTAGAAGGCAGAGGATGTAGTGAGCCAAGTTGGTGCCATTGCACTCTAGCCAGAGCAAAATAGCAAGACCCTGTCTCCAAAAATAAATAGAGCTGTTCCTCCTGTTGAGTTGGGGGGACAACCCCACCTGCCTGCCCACCAGGGACTTCCCCCCTGCAGTTATCCCCTTTCCTTTTTCTATCACTAATTCTTCCCTGTTATTCCACCTTTCCTGGCAGTTTGCAAAGACCAGGGTGGGTTTGGCCTGGGGAGAGGCTTGGTCTTCTTGTGTCCTTTAGACTAAATGGAGGCAGATGCTCTGATTCTGATGTGAGGCAGCTGCACCATGAGGTCTTGGGAGAGTAGCAGCATCTGGTGGGCATGCACTCTGGGTCAGAACTTACAGTCCCAGCACTGCTTCTTCTTAGTATTCTCTACCATGAAGCAGTTCTGTAGCTTCCCTGAGCCTTACTTTCCTCTTTTGTAAATGATGATGGTGATGGGGCCTGCCTTAGAGGAACACTGGGCAGCCCTCCAAGGTGACATGGGGCTGAGATTCGCCCTTGTTGCACCTCAACCCCGGTGTCACTCCCAGGCTGTTCAGCTGGGCGCTGCTGCGGTTTCTGAACTGCGTCTTCCTGAATGTGCAGCTCCACAAGGGTCAGATGAAGATGGTCCACAAGGCCGCCCAGACGGTAAGGCCTGCCCTCTTTTGGGATGGGGATGGCAGGAGCAGAGAAGCAGAGGAGCAGAGGCTGGGCCAAGCCCTTAAGTCAGGAGTAGCCCCCATCTGGTCCTGCTTCCTGGCCTCTCTGCTCCCAGCTGTACAGCAGCGCATTCCCCATCAGCTGGTGGGAAAAATCCACTGCTCTTTGCCGACCTTCCCTTTATGTCTCACGGTCCTGCTCCCATGGGGCTTCCTCTAATGTCTTTTCATCATGGTCTTAACAACCATTACGTCAGTGCATCAGTGCGTCAGTGCAGTTACCTTAGAAGTTTTGGAAAGGCTCCTTTGCTTTTGGGAAATGTGCTCAGAGGAAGAACTCTTCAGCTGAACCCTCCCTCCTCCAGGGGTGCCCTGGGTTTTTGGCTGCTTGTGTCCTCAGAGTGGGGCAGGCTGGCACTTTCCTCTGGCTCTCCCTGGAGCAGGGTTCACCGCTTGTCCTCCTCTCTACTCACAAAACCCTCCTGGATGGGATCCTGCTGCCCTTTGTGCTGCTCTCCCAGGGCCTGGGTGTGCTCCGTGTGGCCTGGGACTCCCGTGCCTGCTCCCCTTCCCTCAGGTAAAAACCCTGTGTCTCTAGACACGCATGGGAGAAGTTGCAGGTTGGGATGGGGGGTGTGTATTGGGGTGTGTTGGCGGCAGCTCCCTGCCAAAGGCCCTCTTCCTGGCCTCTCTGTTCCTAGCCACACAGCAGTCTAACCTGTGGGGCTTAGATGGAGGGGTCAGCCACAGGCCCTAGGGCCATGGCTTTGCCACAGGGTATTCAAGTAGGACACAGTCTATTCCTGGGGGAGCTGGGACTCTCACTAGCCCTTTATTCATTCTCATCTTCAGAGCCCCTTGCCTTATCAGGCTCTGCCCTATGTCGCACAGAGCTCTGCTGAGGAAGCTTGGGGGGCTTTTCCTGCCCTCAGAGGCCAACCTCTCCCTGGACAGCTCTGAGGGGCTCCTTGCAAGGGCCGTGGTCCAGGAGGTGAGTGCCCCAGTGGTTATATATGGGCCAGGCTAAGGGGACAGGGGTCTGCTTCTGCACTGGCCTTAACACCCCTTCTGTCCCCTCCTATTCTAGGTCATAGATCAGCTGCTGGTCAGTGGGCAGCCCCTGCTCATCTTCTTGGAGGAACCTCCTGGGGCCCTAGGGCCACGGCTGTCAGCCCTGGGCCAGGCTTGGCTGGGATTTGTGGTAAGGGCAGTCCAGGTGGGCATCATCCCAGATGCTCTGCTGGTACCAGTGGCTGTCACCTATGATGTGGTTCCGGATGCACCATGTGACATATACCATGTGAGAATGTGAGACCCTCCAGCCCTTTGGGCAGAGGCTGATAAGGCAAGGGGCCCCTAGGTGGACAGCAGCTCCAGAGAGAAGGCACAATATTGTGTCCTGTGGCTGAGTCCCTCTTAGAGCTGCGGGGGCTTCAAAGGAATCATCCCTATAGTCATCTTGCAGCACCTGCCAGGGCTATTGCCATCATCTCATTTCATCCTCTGAAGACCTTGATAGGGAGGGATTTTCCCTGTTTGTTGGATAAGAAAAGAGGAACTTGGGGAGGGCAAGGTAATGCACCAGTGTGGCCTGAGATAAAACTGAGCAGGCTGGGACCCGAGGATACCCCTGGAGAGCAGGATGGGGTGGGCAGCCCTGATGTCCACTGAGAGCAGTGCCCCCGGTGAGGCTGTACAGTTATCCTCTCCCTTCTTGCAGGCCTCAGCCCCCCTTGGGCTGTGGACAGGAGCTCTGGCTGTCCTGTGGAGCCTCTGCAGCCACTTGGGCTGCAGCCGTCAGATCTGCTCCCGGGTGCACCTAGCTCAGCCCTTCTCCCTGCAGGTATGGAGCCAGCTGGGGAAGGCTGGGAGTACCTGGGGGTCTGTCCTGGGCCTCCTGGCAGCCTGGCCTTCAAAGCCACTGCAGGGATAGCCTTGCCTACTTCTAGTGGCTGTGGGCAAGTTTCCTGGTGGGCCAGAGCAGGTCACTTAATAGCCTTGTCCTGGGCAGGAATACACCATCAGTGCCAGAAGCTGCTGGGGCAGCAGGCAGACCCTGGAGCAGCTACTGCAGCCCATCTTGCTGGGCCAATGGTAGGGGCAAGGGAGCGTGTGGTCTCAGGGGAGAGGCAAGCAACCCGTCAACATCAGCTTATGTATCCTCCATAGACACAAACATACTAGCAGCCCTCCCTCACCAGATATCCTGGGGTGATCTAGAATAGTTCCAGGCACTCGCCTTGCTAACAGTCTGAGTGTGGGATATGGCACAGAGGCCTGGAAGGGGCTGGGGATTATAAATGCTATCCTCTGTCCTGGGGCTGGGATGGGGGGGACACCCTCACCTTTCAGAAAGCCCAGGGCTTCCCCACAACTGTTTTTAGGTTGGTGCCTTCATTCTGTGATCTATGTCTCTGTCCCAGTACTGCTGTTCCAGACACTGAGAAGGAGCAGGAGTGGACCCCCATAACTGGGCCCCTCCTGGCCCTTAAGGAAGAGGACCAGCTCCTGGTCAGGAGACTGAGCCATCATGTCCTGAGTGGTGAGGATGAACCAGATCTGGGCCTTTGGGGGTGGGTCCCTGAACTGTCCCCTCTCTCTGGGTCAGCCAGTTTCCAGGGTCCTTCATTCCAAGTGAGTGTCTGCACCTGAGCTGCCCTCCTTCTGTGGGACCTTGGGGACATCTGAAGAAGAATGGAACCTTTCTCCTGCAGGAGGAGCAGGGCAGTCAGGGCCAGTATGAGGGAGCACTTACTTGCATGGACACAGATGATGGCCTGAGCACAGGAGGCTGCAGCTGCTTCCCGAGGCCACACTCAGCCCTGCCTTCTGAGCAGAGTCTCCCTAGCTGTGGATGGGGATGGTGTTAACTGAATGGAATGATATGTGTAAGGGGCTTAGCACAGTGCCTGTGCAGAGGGCCCTTATAGGGAGATCCATCAGTATCTTCTCTAGTGCCCCTGTGTGGTGGAGGCTGTGGGTTGGTGTGTGGGCCCCATGATGAGACCCAGGGTAGGGCCCCTAGGTCCTGGCCTGGCTCTCTGCCTCTGTGTGATAAATTCACTGCTCTGGGCATATGTTCCCCCTCCCTGGGGTGGAGTGGGGATGTCTGATAATGGAGGGATCAAGCTGCTGGACCTCAATGCCTGACCAGCATCTCCACCCGCTGTCCTGCCTCGCCCCACCCCAGCCAGTGTGGCGAGCTCTGCCGTGATGAGCACGGCCATCATGGCGACACTGCTGCTCTTCAAGCACCAGAAGGTAGGGGGTACAATATGGTGGGGAACTCTGGGTGGGGTATGGCCCTCCTGATCATCCCTGCTCTGCCCACCCAGGGCGTGTTCCTGTCGCAGCTCCTGGGAGAGTTCTCCTGGCTGACGGAGGAGATACTGTTGCGTGGCTTTGATGTAGGCTTCTCTGGTCAGCTGCGGAGCCTACTGCAGCACACTCTGAGTCTGCTGCGGGCGCATGTGGCTCTGCTACGCATCCGCCGGGGGGATTTGCTAGTGGTGCCACGGCCCGGCCCAGGCCTTGCGCACCTGGCACGGCTGAGTGCTGAGCTGCTGCCCGTCTTCCTGAGTGAGGCTGTGGGCGGTGAGTCTTGAGGGGTAGGTGGGATGTGTGTGCAGGTGTTAAGGGAACAGATCCTTCCTCATAACGGTCCCTCCTCCCCCAGCCTGTGCGGTGCGGGGGCTGCTGGTAGGCAGAGTGCCGCCCCAGGGGCCCTGGGAGCTGCAGGGCATAGAGCTGCTGAGCCAGAACGAGCTGTACCGCCAGATCCTGCTGCTGATGCATCTGCTGCCGCAAGAGCTGCTGCTCCTGCAGGTCAGGCCTCCCCTGCGGCCCACTTGGTCCTAGGCCTTCCCCTCTTGGTGGTAGGAATGGCCATCCCTGCCCAAGCACCACCTCTGAAATCTCCTGGGTGGTAGGTTTGGCCTTGCCCTGCCTTTGGCTAGGCCCCCACCCATGTGCCTGGCTTGCCTGAGGCCACATGGGTCCCTTTTTCTCCCTAGCCCTGCCAGTCTTCCTACTGTTACTGTCAGGAGGTGCTCGACCGGCTCATCCAATGTGGGCTCCTGGTTGCTGAGGAGGTAGGCAGGGCCAGGGGAGGTAAGACCCCTGCCTGGGGCCTGGCCTCCTCCAGCCTCCCACCCTGAGTGCCAGCTGCCCCAGGCTCCTCCTCTGGCCTGTGTGTGCTGTGGGGGTGGGAAGCCCCTGGCCTTGCAGTGGGGAAGCCTAGCTCACACCTCTGCGCCCTGTGCCTTGGGATATGGCCACCTATGCCCTGGGCCCATGTACGTCTCTCTGGACAGCACTGGCTTGTGTGCCTCTGAGCTTCTCTGCACACCTCCTGTTCCACGTTTCTTGGCCACAGGGCTGCTGCCACTGAGGGTGGGTGTTCACTTCCTCTGACTCTGCAAGTTGGCCCAGCAGGTGCTGTGGTGTGGCATGGCTCTGGGCATCCTCTTGGGCTCTCTAGGTCTGGTTTTACTGGATTCACCTGCATGTGCCTGGTCTGGGGGTATAGGGTTGATCTCTGGCCAGCTTGTCAGAGCATGTGCCTGGTCTGGGGGTATAGGGTTGATCTCTGGCCAGCTTGTCAGAGAACAATGCTTCCATGGCCCCTAGACCCCAGGCTCCCGAGCAGCCTGTGACACAGGGCGACAGCGAATGAGCAGAAGGCTGCTGTGGAAACCGAGTGGGGACTTTACTGATAGTGACAGTGATGACTTCGAAGAGGCCGAGGGCCGGTACTTCAGGGTGTGTTGGAAGCAGCTGCCCCTGGAGGGATGTGGTAGGGAGGCTGTGGTGAGCTGCACTCACCCCCACCTGTCCCCTCCAGCTGAGCCAACAGTTGCGCTGCCCAGACTTCTTTCTTTTCCTCTGCCGCCTGCTCAGCCCACTGCTCAAGGCTTTTGCACAGGCTGCAGCCTTCCTCCACCAGGGCCAGCTGCCCGATACTGGTGAGGCCCTTCTTCCCTTGCAGTCCTCCAGGCAGGCTGTGTCTGTGCGGGGCCCCAGGTCTAGGTCTTTTCTCTTCCGCAGAGTCTGGCTACACAAAGCAGCTTTTTCAGTTCCTCCAGGCCACCGCCCATGAAGAAGGGATCTTTGGTGAGTCCCAAGTAGTCAGCCCCGGCATGGCTGAATGCTGAGCTGCTACCCCTCTTCCTGAGGGAGGCTCTGGGTGGGAAGTCCGAAGCTTTCTGGAGGCAGGGGTGTGTTTGCTGGTGGCTGCTGCCCCCTGCCGGACAGTGACAGCCCACTCTAGGAATGATGGCTGCAGAGTACAGAGGGTCTTCTGTCCAATCAGAGCTCTATCCCTCCCTGAGCTGCTGCTTTAAACGAGAGGAGAGAAGCCTGTGCCCAGTGGCTCCCTGTGCTCCCTACCTAGAGCCTTCACTTCTGTCTTCTTTCCAGAGTGTGTGGACCCAAAGCTCGCCATCAGTGCTATCTGGACCTTCAGAGACCTAGGGGTAAGAACCAATGTCACCATCTTCCTGTCCTCCTGCTCCCACCCCGATAGAGCTGCTCAGGAAAACCCAGCTATGTCCCATCACCCCACAGGGATGGCCTGATGGTGCCTCATTAATACCCTGGGGTTTACCTGGTGTCTTCCAGCAATAGATGTGCTGATGGGTTGGAGAAGGTGGGATGGTTTTCCTGCCTCTTTGTCTTCCAAATCACTGGCTCATCCTTCTAGGTGGGGTATGGGGCTGCTTTGAGGCAGCATTTGTACTTAAACACTGAGGCCTAAGGGGCCAGAGGTCTCAAGACAGGTTTCTGGGGGACAGGCCTGGCCCCTGGGCCCTGTGGACAGGGCACTCACGGCCCATTTTCCATGGCCCAGGTTCTGCAGCAGATGCCGAGCCCTGCAGGCCCCAGGCTCCACCTGTCTTCTACTTTTGCCAGCCGGGACAATCAGGAAAAACTGGAACAGTTCATCCGGCAGTTCATTTGTAGCTAGAACTGTGAGGTGGAGCCCGTATTGAGACTTCTCAGCTCCAGAACATAGCTGTGTCCTAGAGCCAGAAGACAGACAGGAGGCTGCAGACCCTTAGCTGCTCTATAAAATCAGAGCTTGGTTGTCCCTTGCCATTCCCTCCTTTGACATAATAAACAAGGGGACTGGTCGTGTGGTCTTTTCCCAAGCCCAGCAGTATCTTTTCGGCATATGTGTATGTGTGTTATTTGCTCTCCTCTTTCCCAGTCCCACAAAATTACCCCATCTTTTCCCATGAAAGAAAGCTCAAAAGAAGACAGACCGTAGAAGCCAAGCTGCTGCTTTGGCCAGACGAGTTTATTGAAGAGAGTTGTCTTTCTCCCTTCTACCTAGAAGAAGAGGCTTGCAGGGCTGGCCCCTGCCCACACCTGGCATTGGGCCTTTCCCTGGGCTAGGCTGAGTGGGAGCAAATGCCCCCCTCCTATGTCGAGGGCCTGTGCAGGAGTCATCACACCACCTTGTTGATGATGACACCTAGTTCTTCAATCTCACACTGGACTTCATCCCCCTTCTGCAACAGAGCAGGAGGCCATGAAGGTGTCAGCCCTTCTGTCAGACACACATACATACACGCAAGCCTGTACTTCTCAAGTCTGAGCCAAGCCTGCCAGGTCTTCGGGGCCTTTGCTCTCTTTCCTTTTCGCTAACCTACCTTGAGAAAGACAGGAGGTTTCCTGAATACACCAACACCTGGGGGCGTCCCAGTCAGGATGACATCCCCTGGGTAAAAGGTGACAAACCTGGAGCAAAGCAAGAGGACCCAGTGAAACCAGGGGCTGACTGAGGTGGCCACAGCCAAGGGTGGAGGGCTCGCATCAGCCTCCCCATGTGTGGCAGGTGAAGCGGGGCTGGCAGGACAGGCCGTCACTCACTGGGAGACCCAGGCTATCAGCTCCTCTGTCTTGAACACCATCTGCTTGGTGTTGCTGCTCTGGACCACTTCCCCGTTCACTCGGCAGCAGATCTTTAAGTTGTGTGGATCTGAAATGCAAAAATGGTACCTTGGAGTTATCCCTTTTCCCCCCTCGACCCCCCATATTTCATAAACACAACTGTAGGGGGCCTTCGTGACTTGCCAGGTGAAAAGGCTTTGTGCCTACACTGACTCAGTGCTCTACGTTAGAACTTTCTGTATAGACGTTGGCCTTCTCAGGCCTCCCTGTATCCCCACCAAGAGCACCAGGCAGTGGTCACTTGGATGAGCTGAGAAGATGTTCCAGACTCTGAAGGGGGAGAGAAAACTGGCTAGGGTTTTTGTCTTGAAAAAAAAAAAAGGCGGGGGGGGCATCTGTCTACAGTATAGGACGACACTTGTAGATACAAAAATGACTTGGGAGGGCCAAGCGTGGTGGCTCACGCCTGTCATCACAGCACTTTAGGAGGCCAGGGCAGGTGAGGACTAAGCTAAGGAGTTCACAACCAGCCTTGGGAATGTAGTGAAATAATAAAAACAGCCAGGCGTGGTGGTGCATGCCTGTTGTCCCAACTACTCAGGAGGGTGAGGCGGGAAGATCACTTGAGCCCAGGAGGTTGAGGGTTCAGTGAGCTGAGATTGCGCCACTGCATTCCAGCCTGGGTGACACAGAGACCCTACCTCAAAAACAAAACAAAACAAAAAGACTCAACATCGATAGTGCAGTGAGGTAATGGCGCAAGCAGGGAGTGAAGCCTCGTGTACTGGAAGCTGTCGGGGAATGGATTACCGTAAGAGCATCCTGGCTAACCAGCACTTTTAACTGTTTTGCTGGTGGTCTTTGCCCTTAAGAAGAGCAGCTGAAACACAATTTAACTTTGCCAAGGACTCTGCACGGGGTGCTCTGAGGCACTGGGGTTTTCAGCATCCTGGCAAGGCTGGCCCACATGGAAACCCCCCACCTCCACCACCGTTGTGGGTGTCTGTGCCTTAGAGGCTACTCTGCCCTCTGGGCCACTGCCTCTGTCCTGGTGCGCTCTCCTATGTGTGGTCAGTGCTGCTGTTTCCACAGTGGCTGGGTGAGTCGCACTGGCTCTCGTCTCCTGTACTGTGGAAAATGCCTGGGCCTTGCGAGAGCTGTGCTCCATGATGCTCAACTTAAAGGCTGTTCCAGATGGTGGCAGCCACAGGAAGCCCAATCCACCCGTCAGCTCAGTGTTCTTTGTAATTTACTTCATGCATGCAGTTTTATCCTCTGCAGCTGAGTTTCCTCTAGGGGGCTTGGGAAGGAAGCCCATGGAAGAACTCATGGCTGAGGATAAGAAACTTGCCCTGTATGGAGTCAGCAGTGAAAGGGCAGCCAGGGAGTGCAGGTGCACAAGTACCTGAACCCACACTCCTCCCTGCAGTGCTGTTCATCTGTACAGTAGTAGGCACAAGGGGGCAAGAACCAGGGACCTACCTGCTACACTGTCCTTGGTCACCAAGGCAGGGCCCAGAGGGCAGAAGGTGTCAAAGGTTTTTCCCAGCAGCCACTGTTTCCCATTGCGTCTCATTTGCCAGTCACGAGCACTCACGTCATGAGCCACAGTGAAGCCGGCCACATGGGCCATGGCATCTGTGGCCTATAGGGGCAGGGGATTTGGCCATACAGGAGGTGAGATCACGGGTGACACCAACCCCTATAGCAAAGGATCTCAAAGCCGTTATCCCATGTTAGTAGCCAGAGCCAGCTGAAGGTGGGTGAAGGGCAGGGCAGCGTCAGGGAGCAAGGAGGCTGACCGCTTTCTAGTGTCAGGGACAGCTGGCACTCGTGTGTTGGTGAGTGAGGTCAGCACTAGGAGAGGCAGGAGCTGGGGCTTCTGCTGCACTCTGGCCTGGGAGCCCACCCTTTCCACCTCACCTTGATGTGCTTGCCTTTCTTTCCAATGACCACGGCCAGCTCCACTTCCCAGTCTACCTCCTGTAGGGTGGGAGAGAAGTAATGAGCCGCAGTGGTTTCTGGGCCCATTGTTTATGCTGGGAGGCTGCACACCGTGGATCTCCGTCAGTATGGCTTGGCTGCCAGCCCATGTTTGCCATCACCATGAACCAGTGCCACGTGAATGACAAGGGAGGTGTGACTTATAGACCCATACATTTATTTTGGGCAGTGGCAGGCAGCATTATGGGATGTAGGCACAGGTCCCCACCCCACTGTGACTGCAGACCCCACATGTGTCCAGGGGTCACAGTTTAAGTCACTCTGGATACCTGCAACAAAGGATAAATACGAAGTCATATCACCTAGCAATATGTCACCGTACTGTGTCAGGCACTACTCTAAGTGCTTTAATATATTAACTCACTGTGGTAAGAAAAAGATTGACATTCCAGAAAGGACTTGAATAAGCAAGTCATAAGGAGGTAATACACGTGGCCACAAAACATGAAAAAATACTTAGCCTCTCCCATAGTCCATAAAGTACAACTACAAAATAGATATAATTTGGCTTTTAAAAGAGTTGGTATAAGTAAGTACATCTGACATCCAGATGTTGGTCTCTAATACCATGCCCTACTAAGAAGCACCAAGTTCCTGGGGAAACAGCTAATTCTAGGTCCAAGACAGACAGTACATGATGAGACTGGAACATCTTAGCCAGAAAGCAAGGATATACTAAAAGTGGTGGGGATGGAACCAACTTAATGGCCCCTCACCGGCCAAACTGAGGTTATCTAAAGAATGTAAATGATGAATTTCAAACAACTGAGTAAAAACAAAAATCATGAATTCATAGTGATATTGAAGACACAGAAATAAAATGGAGGGAGGCAGCTTTTCTGCATAGAATGCCAGCCAATAAAAACAGAAGGCATGATTTAGAAAAGTCATTGTTCTTCTGGGCCTGGTGCAGTGGCTCATACCTGTAATCCCAGTACGTTGGGAGGCGGGTGGATCACCTGAGCTAAGGAGTTCAAGACCAGCCTGGCCAACATGGTGAAACCCTGTCTCTACTAAAAATAAAAAAAAAATTAGCCAGGTATGGTGGTACATGCCTGTAATCCCAGCTACTTGGAAGGCTGAGGCAGGAGAATCACTTGAATCCAGGAGGTGGAAGTTACAGTGAGTGCAGATCATGCCACTGTACTCCAAGCTGTGCAACAGAGCGAGATTCCATCTCAGAAAAATAACAAAAAGGTCATTGTTCTCTAACTCTCAGTGCAATAATGGATTCAGTAAAGATGACCACAGGATCCCTGGATGAGAAGCTATGGGGCAATAAGATAGTTACGTGATCTCAAACTACCACCCACAGATTGCTTATTAATTACAAAAATGGAAATGCATCTTCACAATGGAGGGACCTAGTGAACGTCAGGTAAACCAAGTGGTCAACTTCTGGGACTACTGACATGAGCTTCCCAGTGGAATGCAACGGGAAATGTACATCTCTGTAGACCTCTTGATAAAAATGCTTACCCTGACACTAATCATGAAGAAACAACCAGACAAACCCAGGGTGTGAAACATGCCATGAGACAACTGGACTCTTCAAGGAAATGAGAGGGAGGATTGTTTGAGGTCAGGAGTTGGCAAACAATGGCCAGCTCATGATCTGCTATAATAAAGTTGGACTGAACCCCATCATTTCTGTATCATCCCTGGTGGTTTTCATACTACAGCAGCAGAGTTCAACTGTTGCAAAAGAGACCATATGACACTCACAGCCTAATATTTATTAATTGGCCCTTGATATGGTTTAGTTGTTTTCCCACCCAAATCTCATATTGTAGCTCCCATAATTCCAAAATGTTGTGGGAGGGACTTGATGGGAGATAACTGAATCATGGGGGCAGGTCTTTACCGTGCTGTTCTTGTAATAGTGAATGTGGGTCTCATGAGATTTGATGGTTTTAAAAATGGGAGTTTCTCTGCACAAGCTCTTTTTCTGCCTGGTACCATCCATGTAAGATGTGACTTGCTCCTCCTTGCCTTCTGCCATGATTGTGAGGCTTCCCTAGCCACATAGAACTGTTAAGTACAATTAAACCTCTTTCTTTTGTAAATTGCCCAGTCTTGGGTATGTGTTTATCAGCAGCCTGAAAACAGACTAATACAACCCTTTAAGAAAAAGTCTATGGAACCCAGTTCTGGATTGAAACCACTAAAGAGATATAACTGAATACAATGTGTGGCCTTGGTTGATTATGGGGCAACAAACAAAGTAATGAAATTAAAACTCATCTTTGGGGCAGTCAGCAGTACTTCCAATTGGGAACTGGGGCAACTGGATTACATATTAAATGTTATTCAAGTTAATTTTCTTGGTTGTGATAATGGTGGTATGGTCATGCAAGCCATTGTCATTATTCTTAGAAGACGCTATTTAAGTTCTTATGACTAAATTTTCTTAGTATTTGCAATGTGTTTTAAAAGGTCCTCTCCACCCTATGCCCTGCACACACACACACACAAAGTGTATGTTTGCCATATGGTGGGCAGGGAGAAGGCAAGGGAGAAAGAGCAAATACGGCCAAATGTTTACAATGAAACCAGGTGAAAAAGTATCTGAGCACTCACTTTGTTATTTTCCTTGCTTTTCTATAATTCCCATGACATTTCTAAAATAAAAATTTGAGAGAAAAAGTAACCAGTGCTAGTAAGGGTATATACACTAATGGTAAATGCATAAATTGCTTTTACAATTTTTTTAAAAGGCCAATTGGCAGAATTTTTCAAAAGTTTTGAAAAACTGTCTATACTTTGACATATTTAAATTCTAAGGGTTCATTCAAAAAAATAATAATTAATGGACATGCAAAGCGTTTAGAAAAGGATGTTTATTGCAACATTTATTTATAGAAGACAAAAACTGGAAATAACTATCCAGCAGTAAGGTACTCGGGAATATAACTATCCTGTCCAACAGAAAACTCCATGGTAATCTAAAATACATCAGGGAGAGTATTTAATGACATGAAAAAATGCTTCTGATGCAGTCTTAAGTTAAAGGTAAGTATATGCACAGTATAAACATATACAGGAGTGGAGAAACACTGGGAAGATAGACAGAAAAAAATTAATATTGTGAGTCCTGGGCAGTGGGAATATGGGTGATGTAATTTTTTAATGTTTATCTCTATTTTATTAATTTTCTAAAATGAAGGTGTATTGCTTTTGTAATTGGGAAAACATGTACATTAACTTTATTTCCAAGGCCAATGTTATTACTATGTATATAATTGCCTAGAGTTTCTGTTGAATGCACTATTGAGAGAGAGGTGGCTCCAGTAGGCTGAATACTGAGCTCAGAACACCCTTGTGGTGGGCCCAGTGACTAGGGAGAGCAGTGGGGAGGCACTGACCTGGCTCTCTGGTGGGAGGACCACCTCATCATAGGGCCCCACGATGGAGCTGGCAAACTTGCTGAAGATGATGGGCTCCTTGGGCACGGGCACGTTCTGTTCTTTGCAGTGGTCCACATAATTCATGCCCACACACACCACCTTATCTGGCCGTGTGACTGGAGCCAGGAAGGTTACCTCCGACCGTGGTAGGACTGGCAACTGGGCAGCCAAGGCTCTGTAGAGACCAGAGCAAGTGAGACGGCCTGGCTGGGAACAGGTTGCAAACCCCGGGCAGGCTGGGCAGATCCTGCAGCAGCTACAGGTTTGGTTTTTGAAATGATTTCCTAGCTCTATCAACCATCAGAGTCAGCATGAAAATCAAGCCCAGCTATTGTCCTTTGATATCAGAGCAGGGCTGTTATCCAGTGTTGATTTCCTCTTCCCCTTAGGTAACTCATGTCCATGTAAGAGAATTCAAAAGATGCAAACTGGAATACATGGAAAGGTTTCCCTTTCCCCTTCTATTTACCCCATTCCCCTGGCTCTTCACTGCTACTCTATGGATATTCTTCTAGAACCCTTTTGTACGCAAATGATAGCACATTATTTACTTTTGTTTTTAAAAAAAACCAGCTGATTTTGGATATCTCTCCTCTCTTTGTCTTATGGCTGCATATTACTGCTCTATAGAGATATACCTAAGTCCCTAATAAGTGGCATGAGGTTGTTTCCAATCTTTGCAGAATATGGCAATATGGGAACATACAGTTAATGATACTGGGGCTGGGAAATATTTGTATTTTTTCCCATTTTAATAGATGAAAATGACATCTTTAAAGTGTTTTTAATTTATTGTTCATCAACTCTTTAGACCAGATTCTATAGGGCTCCAGGCTTCAGGGACACTCTCACCTAATCTAGTCCAAACCCAGGAACAATTGGATTATAGAAATCGTCTTTGCAGTCCTCTCTCCTTGCAGGATCCAGGAGTCTAAATCACTCCCCCAGCTGCATAAGATGTCTTTTAGGACCCCTAGTCCCAGACCTGTCAGTCACGGACTCCACTCCCAGAGGAGGCAGTATGATGAAGTATAGAGTCCTGGTTCCAGCACCAAATGCATGGCCTTGCATGGTTAATCACCTCCCCTAGGCCTCAGTTTTCCCCTCTGAAAATTGAAGATATTGTTAAATAAGATTTCTAAGCATCTTTAAAGAGAACAGGTGGGAAAGGAAAGGTGGGGTTACTCTGATCACTTGCAAAAGAGCTACTTGTTGGTGCTGTTTCCCAGAGCAGGGATGGGGTGGGAGAGTGCGGGGGGACCAGGGCCGCTGATTCAGGGCGGTGCTGCCCACTTACCTTCTTGCCACTGACAGGGTGACTTCTCCCTGCTCGAGGAACTGTATCATTGTTTTGGGGAGTGTGGGGTCAAAGGCATTGAGGTTGATAACTCCTCCACCATTCCCTGTTTCCAGGCCCAAGTGAGGCCCCACTAGGTGGGGTGCCTGGAACTGCACTAGTCTCATGTCTCTGGATGGTTGAATGGGCCACTTCTGAGCCTGCAGCAGAGCTGTGAGCAACCTTCTTCTACCAGAGACCAGCATCAGAGCCTGCAAAGAACAAAGCAGGATCCATGAGACGGAGGATCCCAGAGCCATCATCAGGATCCCTGAAATTCCAAGGGCTACAGCCCCAGGCCCTTTGCCCCAACAACTGTTCCCTGCATACCACATGGGAAGTGGTCCAGGCTTGTATTTTACCTTGCTGTACTTCATAAGGTGAAACTTTTCTAGAGGAGCAACTACTATGTGCTAGGCACTAAGTCCCAGGGATTCCAAGATTCCTTCAACCGGTGCTCTCTGAAAGTTCCCATTGTGCTTGGCTCTGCTGCAGGCATTGGGGAAACAATGTAGCTCAAACTCAGCCCTGCCATTCTCCCTGCAGAGGTCACAGATGTTAACAACCGACCTAAGATTCAGCTATCAGGACTAGTGCTGTGAAGATGATCAGGGGCCCCTACTCTTATCTAGTTTCTTCAGGAAGTGATATGAGCTGAACTGGGCTGAATGAGCGGGACCAGGAATTGGCTGAGTGGCAGCACAGCGTGGGCAAGAGACTGCTGGTGAAATAGGCTTCACAGCGGCCACATGCAGATGATTTTAAATGTTAATTTGTTCCTGTTAACCTCCTACTTAAAATGGTTTCCAATGGTCACATGATCAAGCTAGACCCTCTACCAGGCTGTCCCAGTCTTCTAGGAGCAGCGCCTCACCTGCCTCTCCAGATAATAATTATTTCTTTTCTCGTGACAGAGAACAAGTTGCCTAAGGGAAGAGGTTGCAGACAAACAGCAGGGTCTGGGCCTGACAGGCATCACTTGGTCATCTCCTCCCTGTGTCCAGGGGACATGTTTGTCTCTTTCACTGCCTAGCACTGTGCTTGCTGCACAGAAGGCTCTCAGTGACATTCTGCCGAATGAACGAATGACAGAAGCAGGGCCTTGACTTTTCACCACTTGGGAAAGTTTAGTGCTTGTTAACTTCAGGAAACATGGCTGTGCCTTTCCTCCTCAAATCACCTAGAAAGTATCCACAAGGGCTGGACACCGTGGCTCCCACCTATAATCCCCAGAACTTTGGGAGACTAAGGCAGGTGGATCACTGGAGTTCAGGAGGACCAGCCTGGCTAACATAGTGAAACCCTGTCTCCACTAAAAATACAAAAAATTAGCTGGGAGTGGTGGCTGGCACCTATAATCCCAGCTACTAGGGAGGCTGAGACACAGGAATCAGTTGAACCTAGGAGATGGAAGTTGGAGTGAGCTGAGAACGCAGCACTGCACTCCAGCCTGGGTGACAGAGCGAGACTCTATCTGAAAAATAAAAAATAAAAAAATCCACAGGGCTCAGGTCCTGTTTTGAGTCCAAGGCTCCACTTAAAGACAAACACTGCCCTTTTGTTTTGTTCTTAATCCAAGTCTGGCCTCTATTCCTTACCACATAGTGCCTTCCCTGAATTGCTCCTTGCTCTTACGGTAAAGGTTGTATAGCCTTTTATGCCCAAAAGTGTGGAGGCACCTGAGCCCCAGCCTCTTGGTCCTCACCTTGATGATTCAATCTGCCTTGTTCAGTTAAAGACTCCTTAGACTTAGGTCACCACTGTTGTGGCCCGCCAATCTGACCAGAAAACCGAGGCTTTGAGTTCCCTGCCCTGCTGTCTTACACAAGCACCAACTGTGCTACTGTGAAAAGGCTGTTCGAGCCAAACTGCACACGCTCAGACACTCCACACCCCACACCCAGAAATAACGGTAACGGCTGATGCTGAATGCCAACTATTAAGTGCTCTACCTACAATGCCTGATTTAATTCTTGATAATTGTGGAAGGTTAGCCCCATGTTATAGATGAAAATATTAAAGCTTAGCAAGGTCAAGGGATTTCGCCAAGGTCGGGCAGTCCTAGAGCTAGGAGGGGAAGGAGTTGGGATGTGAATACAAGTCCAGGTGACATTGAAGTCCTTGATTCAGAAGCTTGAAATGCAAGCAAGAAAATCTAACTTCAGCCCCCATTCCCCTACCAAGGACTTTGTCTTTCTTTTTGTTTTTTTTTTTTTTTTTTTTTTGAGACAAAGTCTCCCTCTGTCACCAAGCTGGAGTGCAGTGGCTGGATCTTGGCTGACCGCAAACTCCACCTCTCGGGTTCAAGGGATTCTCCTGCCTCAGCCTCCGGAATAGCTGGGTTTACAAGCATGCGCCACCACACCCAGCTAATTTTGTATTTTTAGTAGAGATGGGGTTTCGCCAGGTTGGCCAGAATGGTCTCCATCTCTTGACTTCGTGATCCAACCGCCTAAGCCTCCCACAGTGCTGGGATTACAGGTGTGTGACACTGGGCCCGGCCCCAAGGACATTTTAACCCAGAATGTTGTGAGAATTGGCAACCTTCCATAGGAAATCCTTAAAAATTGTGGTGAGAAGTAGGGACCTCCCACAGGAGAGGCCTAAATACTAACAGCCATGGGTGGGGAAACTACAGGCACCCTCTGGCTGTTGCCTCAGGGACAAGGCTGGTTACCTGCTTTCCAAGAGGACCCCGGGCCACACTGACTGCGCCCTTCCCACATGACACACATGCGGGTTCATTCCAACCTTACAGCAATCCCCTCAGGTAGAGCGCCCTCATTTTACAGAATGGGGCACTGACTCTCAAAGGGGCGAAGACACGTGCCCAAGGTACCAGTCAGAAAGTGGCCCTGGGGCTTCTGCAGCAACCACTATGTCACGCAGCCCGAGCTCAATCCAACTCTGCAAGAGTCCGTAAGCAAAGGGGCGGTGACCTGAGGTGGAAACAGCAGCCCCCATCTTCCAAAGCCCGAGACTGGGTTGTGCACGTCGGATCACAAGCCACAGTCCACTCGCCTGGAACCCGCTCCAGTCCCCTAGTTTCCCTATATGCCCAGCTCCGTCCCCGGCAGTTAGTGAGCGCTCACACATGTCCGTGTGGTGGGTAGCAGCCGGGGACCCGGTTCCAGTTCCGCCCTCCGTGAGAGACCGGTGCCAGGGACACTCTTCTGGCCTGACCCAGCCAGGCCCGTCCTACCTGCGCTATAGGGTTAGGGCTCGCGGGGCCGAAGGTCAAGGGCTGCGGGCGCCTAAGCACTGGCACCGGTGACTGCGGCCAGCCGGGGACCTGCAGCAGCGATGAACCTTGGGCCGCTAGGCCGGCGTACCGGAGCGAGGCGCCGTCGCGCCCCTGTGACGTCACAGGCAACGGGCAATAGCGGGGCGGCAATCCCGGAGGGGCGGGACCAACGCAGGGCCGGGCGGTTCCGGGCGGTCCTCAGACTGCTGGCACAGCTGGGCCTCAGGCGCTTTCTCCCGAGACGCTCCCTCTCGGAGGGACCCTGCTCTGGCTCGAGCCCGAGAGTGGGCGCTGCCCGAAAGTTTTTCCCTAAACGCCTTGCTGGCCTCACCCAGTGTCGGCCCCGTTCTGGGCCTGGCGCCGTTCTCATTGCTGGGGAAAGTGGTGGAGGAGACCAAGGCAGCGTGCTGGCTGGTAGAGATTTGTGGCTTCCGATTGTGACATAGGTCGTTGAGGAGGGGACAGATCACTGCCCCTGTTTTTCTTACGGGGAACTTGGGGCCAGAGCTGTTTTCCCAGGGCGACACAGGCAGTGAGTAGTGGCGCTGGCATTCCTGACCCCAAAGCCCAGCGTTTCCCAGCCTCTCTCAGCAGCCCGGCCTTCACCTGCACTGCTGGGCGCAGGTGGGGAAGAGAGGAAACGAGGCTCCATCCCCGGCAGAGGGCAGGCACGCAGGGAGCAGCGGCTGAACTCCACAGACAGCTACAGCTAGCTCTTGAGCTGTGGGCTTGAAGAGTGTGAGGGGCTCTGGGCAAGAGGCCCCCACATTACTCAAGGACCAGATCATCAAGGAGTTTACTTGGCCCACGATGGAGTCTGGATCTTGTTTAAGTGCACAGGAGACCGCTGGAAGGTCCTTGCCGGCATGTATTTGAGTGCCCGACTTGTATTTGAGAAGTTTTTCCCTGGCCACCCCTGTAAGGAAGGAAGGGTGTCTGGGTGACTGGTGCAGGTGAGAATAATGGTGGTGTGTGGGGGAGAAGGTGAGTGTCCAGAGATGTTCAGGAGGAAGAACTGACAGCTCTGGATGACAGGAGGTGGAAGTGGGAAGGACGTCCAAGGCCGACTCCTGGGGTTCTCTAGCCGGGTAGGTGCACGGCCATTCATGGAGACAGGGCTTCTGGAAGAGCAGCAGGTCTGGGGAGAGGATGGTGAGCTCTGTTTTGCATGGGGCATGGTGGGCACTTGGAGACATGGGTCAGGAGCTTGGGACTTCAGCCTGACTTGCAGAAGGAGGTCACCACAGATACAGAAATGGAACCTGTGGGGGTGGCTGTGACCAGGGGGATGCGCTGAGGAGAACCTGGCAAAAGCGTGTCACTAAGCCATAGCTCCCAAAGACTTTCTGAAGAGATAAGTTACAGCCTGGAAGAAAATATCTGCAAAGCATATATTTGATAAAAGACTTGTATTCAGAATACAGAAAGAACACTTAAAAGTCCATTGATAAAATCAAAATTCAGTTTTTTAAATGGACAAAATATTTGAACAGACATGTCACCGAAGAAGATATACAGATAGAAAATTAAGACATGAAAAGATGCTCAACATCATTAATCATTACGGATATGCAAATTACAAGCACAATGTGACACCATCTCACACCTACCAGAATGGGCAAAGAAGACTGATTATACCAAGTATTGGCAAGAGTGTGGAGGACCTGGGACTTCTTGTATACTGCTGATGGGATCATAAAATAGTTACCACCACGATTGAAAACCATTTGGCAGTGTGTGAAGAGAGTTAAACATACACCTAGCATAGGATCTAGCCATTTCACTTGTGACGATCAACAGTATTGAATTTTACCTTTGCGCTTTGCTCCTAGAAATAGTGAAGGTTAAGGAATCCTGCCACTCTTTGGTTCCAGAAAACACCCTACTGGAAAGAACCAGTGACTTTCCATATAACTTGGTAAGACTCCCAGATGCTCCCTTGTTCATCCATGACCCGGCCAGACGCAGACCCTCTAAATTCCCATTCTTGGCGTCATAAATGATTAGCTGGACTGCTTGTCCCCATGCATCAATAAGAACACACTGCCTGTAACCAAACTTTGGTTCAGATTCTGTCCTCCAGGCCCCTGAGCTTTGGCCCACCAGCAGCTTGTGGCAACCCACAGCCCTCCTGAGAGTCCCTCGTGACAACAGGCTGTCATCAGGGTAAGACCTGCTGGATTGTGACACTCCTGCTCAGCCCACTTTTCCATAATAGTTATTTCTAGCCAAGTTTATTCCTCCCTATACAAGATTAGCCCCTTGCCTAACTCCTGAGACACTTGCTGATCATATGGGGAGCCCGACAATGGGGACACTGCAACGTTTTCCTATTGTAGTAGTCCCCTCCACACCCCACAACAATCCTTTAGGATTAATTCCTTACAGAATCCAGATTTTTTTTTTGTTTTATAGTAGCTACCTGAGAAATGAAAAAATATGCAACAACTTACACATAAATGTTCACGGAAGCCTTTTTATAAAATTTTTAAACTGGTAACTCGATTTTTCATTAACGGGTGAATGTGTGAACACTCTGTGTATATCCACATTAGGGAATACTACTCAGCAATAAAAAGGGACAAATTGTTGATGCAATATGGATATATAGCAAGATAGTTATTTGAAGTAAAAAGGGTAGATTAAAAATGAGTATATATGGGATTATTTCATTTGTATAGAGTATCCTTGGGGGATACCTTCAAAGACCCCTAGCAGATGCCTGAGACTGCAGACAGTACCTATCTCTACATATGTCATGTCTTTTCGTATACATACCAGTGATCAAATTTAATTAAGATGAAGCTAATCTGGTGCCACATAGTTGCAGTCAATCAGAATATGTTTCTGTTCACATCTTCCACCCAGAAATCTAATGCCTTTTCCACCCTAAGCTCTTTTCTTACACTGTAGCCATAACTTTTGCAGTTTGAGGTGGCACAGATTTCTTTTTCCTTCTTCACAATTTCATGGGTAGAAGATTCGTTGTTTCCGTAGCTTAGCAACCTCATTATGTGATTTTTTTTTTTTCCTTTTTTAAGTCAAGAGTGTTCCCATTTTCACTTAAAGGAAAGCTTCTCTTTTGGCATATTGGAATTGCTGGCACAACTCTTATTTTGCTTTGGGGCCATTATGAAGTCAAGTGAGGGTGCCTTGCACAGAAGCACTGTGGTACCGTGACAGTGGATGTAATCATGAAGTCAGCTCCTTGGTGACTAAGGGCAAGGAGAGCAGATGTCATGGGGAAGCTGAACAGAGGGACGATCCCTGTCCCAGGTAGGATGGAGCGGGACAGTGCAGGATTTCATGACGCTACATGGAAAAGCACATCATTTAAAACTTGTGAATTGCTTATTTCTGCAATTTTCCATTTCATATTTTTGGGCCATGGATGACCTGAGCAACTGAAGTTTCAGAAAGCAAAATCATGGATAAGAAGGGACTACAGTACATTAGAAATGCAAATGAATGTGCAGTGACAGGAAACAGACCAGTGGTTGCTTAAAGTATAGGTGTAGACACCTCCTTGGAGAAACTGCTTGTACCTAGGGCCAGAGATGGTGGAGAGCTGGACAACTCCAGGGTGGTAAAACAGAGACCGTAAGACTGGCAGAATGAACTTTTTGTGGCCTATTATAAATTATTTAATTATAAATAAGACCTAAGGCCACGCCAGACAAAAGTCACATGCCCCTACACTAAAAGAAAAATGTTCTTTTGCCGTGCAGAAGCTGTGGAGTTTGATTAGGTCCCATTTGTCTATTTTGGCTTTTGTTGCCAATGCTTTTGGTGTTTTGTTCATGAAGTCCTTGCCTACTCCTATGTCCTGGATAGTTTTGCCTAGATTTCCTTCTAGGGTTTTTATGGTGCCAGGTCTTATGTTTAAGTCTTTAATTCATCTGGAGTTAATTTTAGTGTAAGGTGTCAGGAAGGGGTCCAGTTTCTGCTTTCTGCACATGGCTAGCCAGTTTTTCCAACACCATTTGTTAAATAGGGAATCCTTTCCCAAAAAGGGGAGGGCCAGTGGGAGGAGGAGGTGGGGAGGGATAGCCTGGGGAGAAACGCCAAATGTGGGTGAAGGGGTGAAAGCAAACAGAACACACTGCCATGTGTGTACCTATGCAACTGTATTGCATGCTCTGCACATGTACCCCAAAACCTAAAATGTAATAAAAAAATAAGAAAAAAAAAGAAAAATGTTCTAACTCGCCAGCGGACAGATGCTAACTGATGCCCCCAGACTCCAGACTCCATTCCACAAAGCACAACTATAGGTTTGATTGAACAAGAGACTGACTTCAGTAATTTTTTCCTGATTAAGACACCACTGACCATGGGCTGGTTCTGGCCAGTTTATAGTGGCTGCGCACTGAGTGCTTTTGTGTTCTTGTTTTTTTTTTGAGGCAGCGTCTGGCTCTGTTGCCCAGGCTGGAGTGCAGTGGCATGATGTTGGCTCACTGCAACCTCTGCCTCCTGAGCTCAAGCCATTCTCCCACCTCAGCCTCCCAAGTAGCTGGGACCACAGGCATGCATCGCAGCACCTGGCTAATGTTCTTTTACCTTTTTGTGGGAAGAGATGGCCAGGAGCGGACCTGTGTTACTTATAGTTAAATGATTACAAGCTTGCTTTGCTTTTTATGCACTGAGATTTGTGCCACGGATCATATCCAAACTATGGTGCAGTAAAATAAAAGCAGAGATCAAGTGGTAACAGGAGGCCTATGGTCAAGACCACCTGAGAGCGCCTGTAACCGTGGAACACTGTGGGACTCTAGACTTTCAGGCTCCAGGCTTGCATGTGGAGGCCTGACGCACCTCAGCCTCTCTGATTTTTCCTCTGAAGTGCCTGCTTTTGGTTTCTGTTAAAGGCCACATTTCCCTGCCTGTGGGATGACCAGCCTGCAGGTAGCTACCCTTTCCAAGAGATAAAGCTCTCCTGGCTAAATTTCTATATTTTGTGACTTTCAGTTGGCAATGTGGCAGAATAACCAGAAAGGAAATAAAAGCTTTTGATCCCTGCTTTCTCCATGGCCACCCTTATGATGTAGGTTGGTTTTGCCATGAATTCTTTGTCACCGCCTCAATGCACACCCAGTCAAGCAAGTAGCTTGCTTCTCTCTCTGCCTTTTCCTTGCTCTGGCTGGTGACTCACATGTTTAACAGAGAAAACAGAAGCCTTCACTTGGGGGGAATGCCCTCCATTTCCTACCCCCACTCCCTCAGGCCTTCCACACCTGCACCTGCCGTGTGCTGGCCCCAAAGATGGGGAGAGTTCCCCTTCCCAGGCCTCAGGTCCTGTGTAGGAGCCCCGGAACTTTGGTTGCCTTACACTGAGAATTAATCCATATTCCTCTTGAGCAGGTCTCTGCCTATTCAGCAGGTCCTTCCCCCTCTCTCTTAAACGAAACCAAGCAAAAGTCTTCTCTGGCCTGTCAGGTCTCCATCTGCAAGCCTGGAGCCTGAAAGTCTGAAGCCCTGCTTGCCCCAGCTGACATCTCCCACCCCGTGCCTGTTTGCCAGTGTTCCTGATCGCCCATCAGAACTTCCCCAGACAAGCCTCTCACCCAACTCTGCTATCTTAACTGTTCTTATGATAATGTAAATACCTCTCACCCAACCCTGCCATTGTAACTGCATGTATACTCCTTGCCCCTACCCCCACCACTGTAACTGAAGTTACTCTGCAACACCCCTGCCCCCCCAAAACTACCCAAACCTATAAAACCAACTCCTATCCCACTGCCCTTTGCTAATGCCCTTTTCAGCCTTAGCCCACCTGCACCCAGGTGAATAAACAGCCATGTTGCTTACACAAAGCCTGTTTGAAAGGTCTCTTCATTCAAAGCGCATATTTTTCAACATGGCCCCACTTCCCTCCAGCTGCCCTTCCCACATTGCTTACCAACCTTCCTTGGAAAGTCTCCCACATGAGCTAATTCCCATATGAATCTTAGCTTGGATTTCCTTGTCTCCCATTCATTCCTCATTCTTCCTGATCTGATCTTTGCCCCAGTCCTCCCAATGAAACAAGTCTTACTTAAATCCTCAATTACTTCCATGGTGCTGAGACCAAAATACATTTTACGTCATTACCTCTAAGCACTCGTGGAGTCTCTGGGCCTTTTCCCTGTGCTTTAAATACCACCTTCCCATGGGTTTTGCAGCAGAGGTGAATGGTTTCCCTCCAGTATTCTTTCTCTCCCTCTTCCTTAGCAGCAAAATAAATGGCTGCCTAGAATAGAGAGACTGATTTCTCCATCATGCTTTGAGGCTACATGAGACCATGAGAGTAGTCTGGTTAGCAAGATCTAAATAGAAAAGTTTGGGGGTTCAAGGAATTGTTGAAACAGAACCAGCAGGCCCTTATTCTTCACTGTATTTATTTCTGCTGGCTGAAATGTGAACGTGATGTCTGGAGCACAAAGGGCCATCTCGAGCCTTGAGGTGACAGGCTACCAGAGCTGGGAGCTGGATCCCTGAGAATTATTGAGCTGCCAAGCAACTGCCAAACAGTGCTCTGTTGGCCTTTTATGCAAAAGAGAGAAAACAAAATCCATGGTTTTTAAAAGCTACCATTACTCTGGATCCCCAATACTTGCAACCAAACATATTCTCCATTGATAGGTCTTCTGTCATATCACATTGTTTTGAATTTTCCTCCTCTATCTGGGTCATTTTTCAGGCTCTCTCCTCCATACAACCTATAAATGTTAGTGCCTCTCAAAGCACAGTACTTATGTCTCTTCTCACTCATTAGGATCCCTGAGGCCACATTTTTCATGCTTGATGGTTAAATTATCAACTACAGAAAGAAGGCTCACGTGTATAACTCCATAAACTCAACTGTCTATCGGACACTTCCATTTTGATGTCTCAAAGGCCCACAAACTCATGATTTTTCCACATCAAATGTGGTCCTCTTCTGTATCTCAGAGGATGTCATGGCATCCTCCAGCCATTCACCTGGTCAGGCCCCAAACCAGAATTCTGTCATTGCCCTTTCCTCACCTTCACTCCCATTTGCATCTTCATATCTCGGCAAATTTACCTCCCCACATTGTTTGAACCAATAGACTTGCCACTATCCCAGGCCAAGACACAAATTGATCCTGCCACTATGGCCTTAGTGATGACTTACAAACATGTCTTCAAATTATTTGACATGCCTTCCATGTCCATAGACTTTATTGTGGGTGGAACCTAGCAATTCACTTCTGATGAGTAGAGAGTATGGGAGAAGGACCCTGCATTCCTTCTATACTAGCCTGTCTGCCTGCTTGGCTGCTGCAACAAAGACAATAGCCTGAGGGGCTTAAACAGCAGCCATTTGTCTCCTCATTTCTGGAGGCCAGGCACCTGAGATCATGATGTCGGTGGGCTGGGTTCTTCTGAGGCCTCACTCCTTGGCTTGCAGGTGGCTGTCTCCTGGTTGCCTCTGCCCGTGGTTGTCCCTCTGTGCACATATGGCGCTTGTGTTTCTTTATGTGTCCTAGTCTCCTTTCCTTATAAGGATGCCAATCTGGTTGGGTGAGGGCCCACCGTAGAGCCCTCATTTTAATTGAATTACCTCTTTAAAGGCCCTATCACCAAATCCAGTCACGTTCTGAGGTACTGGGTTAGGACTTCAACATGTGGATGAGGAGGGGCACATGCAGTCCATCACAACTAGATTCTAATTGGTGACCCAGCTTCTTCCTAGCCCTCAGGACAGTGCATCAGTCTAGGCCCAATCAAGAGAGAGAAATCACACAGGAATTGTAACAGACAGAGTTTAATACAGGGAAGTAGCAACTATGACATGGGATTGGAGCCATGAGGGATTAGCTGGTAGGAAGTAACGAGAACTCTAAGGACTAAGGAAGGACCAGATACAAGGAACAGCCAAGTTGGGCACAGTGGTTTACACCTGTAATACCAGCCCTTTGGAGGCCAAGGCAGGAGGATCACTTGGGCCCAGGAGTTTGAGACCAGCCCGGGCAACATAGTGAGACCCTGTCTCTACAAGAAAAAATTAAAAAACAGCCAGTAGCATGGGATGTGTGGTCCTAGCTACTCAAGAGGCTGAGTTGGGAGGATTGCTTGAGCTAGGGAGGTTGAGGCTGCAGTGAGCCATGAGCATGCCACTGCACTCCAGCCTGGGCAACAGAGGGAGACCCTGTCTCAAAAAAAAAAAAAAAGCAGCCAAACTCCTAAGATCCAAGGAAGCACCAAGGAAGAAGCTGCCACCCCACAGACCATGAGATCCAGAACTTGCTAGAGACAGCAGAGGGTGCTGTAGTTTTGTGCTGGTGAAACTCGCTGAAATTTTGCATCCATTGTAGCAACCATATTCCTGTTGGAACCAAATTTTACTCTGGGACATCAGGACCCATCGCTGCAGCCACTGGATCAACCCTCATGTTTTGCCTGTTGATTCAGTGGCATAAGGAACCCAAAGTGACCAGGAAGCAGTCTTAACTTCTCTGTCTCCTGGTGGAGGCACTCTCCCTTTGAGTACAAATGTCTCCAGGCCAGCAAAGCTCAAAGTGGCCAGGATGGGAAACAAAACTGCTATGAGTGAGTTATTAAATGTACTAGTGAGAGAAGCACTCTTACTTCTTATAGTCCATAGACGATCCTGGGCAGGGAAGTTGAAACCCTCTAGAATATGAGTCCTGTTGGGCAAAACCCCTGCCTCTTCCATGATGGAGGGGGTCCAGTGTAACCAACCTGCCACCAGGTGGCTAGCTAGTTTCCGTGGGGAATGGTGCCATAGCAGGGACTTGACATTGGTCTCTGCTGTTGACAGACTGTCTGAACAGTGGTGTTTGCTAGGTCCGCCTTGGGAAGGGGAAATCCATGTAGTTGAGACCACACATAGACCCCATTCCTGCCACCATTCTTTCCACCATCCCTTACTCCAGACAGTCAAATATACTGCTCAAAGTTCTTTCCACTGGAGGACTTTCTTCACCACTGCCCTCAGAGTCATCCCTGAGTGGGGCTGCCATCTGCAGCTTGTCACTCTTGGGTGGCATCAACAGATTGTACAGACCCATCCATAAGTCTTGCTTGAGTTTCTTCTTCCTCAGTAGACTGACCCTAAAGAACATGCAGAAAGCAACAGGCAGGCATTGAGGGAGAGGAAGCAATGCAACTGAACCCGATGTCAAGGGAACCTGA